AGTTCTCCTGCCATCCCCACCCCCCCGCCACCGTCCACACCAGTCCAGCATTCTCAAAGTCTAGGTGTTTCAGCCTCCGAGAGGCTCAAGCCATCCTGGAGTCTGCTAACTCCCATGAGAAGCCATTCTAGGGGCCAGCGTGGTGGCGTAGTGGTTAAGTTGTGCGCTCTGCTTCAGCGGCCCGGGGTTCGCAGGTTCGGATCCCGGGCACAGACCTATGCACCACTCATTAAGCCATGCTGTGGCAGCATCCCATATACAAAACAGGGGAAGATGGGTACAGACATTAGCTCAGGGCCAATCTTCCTCAGCATAAAAGAGGAAGATTGGCAACAGATGTTAGCTCAGGGCCGATCTTCCTCACACACACGTACACACACACATACACAAGAAGTCATTCTAGCATCTCACAGCTCTAACCAGTCTAGCTCAGTCCTGGCTCTGAGGGGGTCTTCTGGTTCCTTGCTGTGTGGGTTGTCCTCCAGCTGTCTCGCAGCTGCAGGCCTGCAGCTGCCATCTTTCCATTCTTCACTGGTCTCTCCACCCAGTGTCATGTACGGCCCTGGCTCCTCCCTCCCTACCCCGCAGCAGCCCTCCAGGATGTTGAGGGAGTCCACATGTTGCACACAAGGTGTGCGTGTGGTGGACATGTGCAGGTCCTCTCGTGGGCTCAAGTACATGCTGGGTCAGCCTCCAGCTCTGCCCCCCAGGGAACAGCTGGCTAATGCATCTCAGCTCAGCTGAACTGTACCCACCTTCTCCTGGCCTCACCCCCAACCTGCCCTGGCAACAAAGAAGGGGAGCTGCGAGGAAGGATCTGCTGGGGACCCTGCTCCTCTAGGCCAGTGACAGCATCTGAGATGTGGCTCAAATAACAAATTGTTCAAAGGAAAAAACACGTAGGGCTCTGTAGCTGCAACACCTACTTTTCATGTCGTTTGCATATGATTTGTGGGAGAAATGAAGCCCGGCCTGCCCTAGCCCTCCGAAGCCTCACTCCTTTACCCCCGCTCTAACTTAGCTTAGCATCAACTCTTTCAAGTCTTTGCTAATCCCAGAGATCAAGGGGTGATCAGCTATCCCTACCATTCCCTTGCTCCCCCCATCCTTGGCTCCTGCCATCCTCTGTGAGATGCCACATCATCAAAGGACATTATTTATGGTGGACCTTTGCTGAAGCCCTGCATCCCTGGTGCCAGGGGGGCAGGGATGGATGGGTTGGTTGAGGGAGGAGGGACCCAGGAGGCTTTAGTCCTCAGCCTTTAGCTAATACGGTCCTCCTCCAGCACCCCAACTCTCCCTAGCCTTCCTAGCTGGACCTCATTCTCCAGGTTGGTGGGGGAGGAGGGGAGGAGGTGGTTGATGGTTAGATCCAGTTAGGACTAGAACCTGAACTTCTCAAAGGCACGAACCAGTCATGTCATTTGCATGTAAACAGCCTCCCACTTCTACCCCTTATCCTACCAAAAGCTCCCAATCCTGGGTCCTGGCCCATGGTCGGCCCACACAGCCCTGCAATTAGTTGCGTAATGGGAAGCTGTTAATGAGGCCCCATTAGTGTCTCACATAATAAAGGGGCCTTGAGACCCAGCTGCTGCCCTCACTCGGGTGAACATGGGGCCGTGTGCAGCCAGAGTGACTTCCCTCAGTGTGGCCCAAGCCCCAGGGTGGGTGGGGTGTCAGGAATGTGGAGTGGGAGACAGACATTTCAGGACCCCAGCAGCACTCGAGAGCCCAATGGAGCATCTACACTGTGGCCTGGACTCATGGCTGGAAGGAACGCAGGATGCTGGGCCAAGGCTCCCTTTTGTTTTATAAATAAACTTTATTGGCACCTACTATGTGCCAAACACCATAGAACTGGGGACCCACTAGTGGTCCCTACCTGTTCTTGCCCTGTGATGCTGACATTCGGGGTGGGGGTGTGTAAACAGACTATAAGTAAAATATTTAGCATATTGGATGTAATAAGTGCGTGAAGAAAAGAAATAGGCAGGGGATATGGAGTAGGGAGTGGTAGTAATTTTAAGTAGGGTGATTGGGGAAGGCGTTGGCGAGTCTTTGTATTCAATACACAAGAGAGCTACGGTTCTCTCCCCAACCCCAAGATGGAGAAAAGTACGAGGTCTCCTGGAGAGGTGGGCCACCACTGGCTCTGTGTGAGTTAACAGTGCCCTCACTGGTTAACGTTCACACTAGGGCAGTCAAATGAAGAGAGGTTTGGAGTGAGAAAAACCTGAATTTGAGCCTGTTCTCCAGTAGCTATATGACCTGGAGCACGTGACTGAACTTTTTTTTTTTTTAATTGATGTTTTAATAGTTTATAACATTGTGAAATTTTGGGTTGTACATTTTTGTTTGTCCATCACCATATATATATCTCCCTTCACCCCTTGTTCCCACCACCTACCCCCATTGCCCCTGGTAACCACAATACAGTTTTCTCTGTCCATGTGTTGGTTTATATTCCACATATGAGTGAGATCATACAGTGTTTGTCTTTCTCTTTCTGGCTTATTTCAAGTAACATAATACCCTCCAGGCCCATCCATGTTGTTGCACACGGCACGATTTTGTCTTTTTTTATGGCTGAGTAGTATTCCATTGTATATATATATACCACATCTTCTTGATCCAATCATCAGTCGAGGGACACATAGGTTGCTTCCACTTTTTTTTTTTTTTTTTTTTTTTTGTGAGGAAGATCAGCCCGGAGCTAACATCCGTGCCAATCCTCCTCTTTTTGCTGAGGAAGACCGGCCCTGAGCTAACATCCACCACCAATCCTCTTCCTTTTTTTCCCCAAAGCCCCAGTAGACAGTTGTATGTCATAGTTGTACATCCTTCTAGTTGCTATATGTGGGACGCGGCCTCAGCACGGCTGGAGAAGCGGTGCGTTGGTGAACGCCCGGGATCCGAACCCGGGCCGCCAGTAGCAGAGCATGTGCACTTAACCACTAAGCCACGGAGCCGGCCCAGGTTGCTTCCACTTCTTGGCTATAGTGAATAATGCTGCAATGAACATAGGGGGTGACTGAACTTTTCGAGCCTCAGTTTCCTCATCTGAAAAATATTTCCTCCTCACATGGTAGTGGCGATGAAAATCAAATGGATTGCTCTATGCTGAAGCACCTTGTTCAAACCCTGCCCCCATTCTAAACGCTGGGAGTGACTAATGGCTATGAAGCTGGCTTCCCCTTTGCCTCTCCCTCCTCTTTCAGCAGTATCTTTTCTCTCTGCTTCTCGATCCTGCCTCTGCCTCTGCCTCTGCCTCTGCCTCTGCCTCTCCCTCTCGCCTGGGGCTCTCCACCTTGGGTGTGAAGTGAGCAGAATAAGCCCCCTCAGCAGTGTGGGGCATGAACAAGAGCCTTGAAGGTCAGGGGAGAAGATGCCTGAGCTTCAGGGAGAGAGATTAGAGTGGGAAAAAAGTCTAACTGGGAGGAAAAACAGAAGAAATTAAGAGATCAATGCTAGGGCGGGGGTAAGGGTGGGGGAACAGCTAAACTGGTGTATTCAGTTCCTTCTTTCCAAGATTATGGCAGGTGGGAGAGAAGTTAGAACTCTAGAAGGATGCAACTAAATCGGGCTGATTCAGGGGTCCAGAAGGAGTGGGTGGGGAGGCCGAGGTGGAGAGATGTTAGCACCGGAGAGGTGGAGGTGGAGGTACACCCGGGGGGTTCCTGTGTTCAGCAGCAAGGGACAAGTCCTGAGGACCAACGTGATGAGTCAGCTCCAGCTGGGAGGAGGACAGAGGGAGAAATGAGGATGGGAAGGGTTGCCAGACCCACATCCCAATCCTCAGGGGCCTGAACTTGGTCTCTTGGTGGTGGGAGGGCCAGAGAAGCACCTGCCTAAAATTGTTGGGCCTGGCAGTTGAGTCTGAGGGTTTAAAGGGCAAGGAACTGGGGGTGAACAAGGAGGAGAAAGAGGCCCAGAGACCACAGCTATTGAGCTAGATTGGCCTGGAAATTTCAGGACAAACCATATACAACATCATTCCTTAGCATACCCAGCTCAGGGGCTGTTGGAAAGTGGGCTGCTGGATAATTCCAGCTCACAGCTGGGTTTGTGGTGTGTGTGTGTTTGTGTGTGTGTGTCTGAGTGTGTGTGGCTGCAGCCTATATCCTCCTTTCCCCCACCAACCTCCCCCCTCCCCTCTGGCCACCCTGGGATTGGTGAGTCTCGGCCCCTCCCCCGGCTCCCCCAGACCCTCCCAGAGCCTTTATCAGAGAGCTGGGCCAGAGTTCCTGCCACATTTCCTGATCTCCTCCACTCCCTGTTTCTCTCTTCACGGCACCACCAGCACCACCAGCACCACCAGCGTGTGTAGGGAGCAGGCAGTGCTCTCGGCCAGCTCCGTGATCCCGCTAGACCGTCTGCCCTAGGCTCAGAGCTGCTCCACAGGTAGGCACAAGTGGGAGAATGTTGGATGGACTGCACCAAAGGACAGGGGCCAGAGTCAAGAGGGAATAAAGGACAGGAGGGCATAAGGGTGACAGTCTTTGATTGGGGAGCAGGGTACCGGGAAGGTGGGCAGAAGGCACCCATAGGGGTTGAGAGCTAGTAATATTTGTAGCTGTGGGTGCAGGCTGATTCTTCCAATACTAGAAAGTTTTTGCCTAAGACTTGGGGTTACCTAGTGCTGGAAAATAGCATCCAGGATCCCTCCTCAAGCTGCCTAAGGAAACAGCCCCATGCATGTCCTATAAATCTATCCCCTTCCTTGAGAGCCTAGTCCCTGGCACTGTTGCACCATTGCTCACTGCCAGGTGCATTTCCTGGGCAGATGTGTGATGGGGGAGCCAGGAGACAGAGCCCAAAGGATGCCCCTCCTGCTCAGAGATACTCTCCCCAGACCAGTGCTTGGACGGGAGAGTTGGGGGCTGGGGAAGCAGGGTCAGACCAGACTGCTGGTTGTGAATGTTTCCTCCGCTTGCCCCCGTGTTGTGTCTTTCTTTTCCCTGCCTTCCCTGTCCTGTCCCTCTGCCCTCCTAGGCACCATGCAGAGCGCCCTGCTGTTCACGGCCATTCTCGCCTTCAGCCTGGCTCAGAGTTTCGGGGCTGTCTGTGAGGAGTCACAGGAGCAGGTGGTGCCTGGCGAGGGCCACGGCAAGGTAAGGCCCCCTCCAGCTGTGCCTGCCCTGCAGAATACTGGGCAGCGTCACGGGAGCTGGTGCTCTGCCTGTCTCACAGCTGTAGGGAGGAAGGTGGGGCTGGCGGATTGGGCGTTACCTGGGTATCCATCAGAGGGTTGGATTTCCCTGCCTCTCTGTTGGTCTCATGTTCTCACTGTCTCCAGGTATGTCTGTAAGTGTCTGTCACTCTGTGCGTCTTTGACACCTTGTACATAAAAGGTGCCCTACTGATATGTCATTAGGTTGGTTGATTGGTGACTTGGTGATTGGATGGTACTGTGAAGGGTGGGCTAGGGTAGTCTGAGGTTCTCTGTGGTCCAGCTCAGGTTCTGTCCTTTGCAGGGGCAAATCCGCTCCACTCCCTGGATGGTATGAAACAGACAGAATTTCTCTTCCAAATGGTCATTTGTATGCTATTTTACCTATCAGTTATGTGTATTATTTTGTTTTCAAAATTCAAATAAATTCGCTTATCCTCTGCTCATCCACTCCAGTAACCTCAGGTGCTCCTAGGATCCCAACCCCTTCTTCTCTCCTCTCCCTTGCCCGCCTCTAGCCTCTGCTTAGTCAAGATGGAAAAAAAAAACAACACAAAACAGGTTGGGCCCCAATTTCCAAAGTTCCTTTAAGAAAAAGAACAGGAATTGTCAGGATAGGGGTATAGGGGGAGAGCAGGGAGGAAGTCTTCTCAAGGTTTTGAAATGACAGCAATTACATTGGTACAAATGCTTTTAAGATGATTACAGGTGGAACGATTACAAATTCAGTGTGTGAAGTGTAACTGCCTCTCCAGCTCAAATCTCTTTAGCATCTCATTGCAGGAGGTGGGCAGAGTATTTGAACAATTTGGGAAAAGTGGCTGCCTGGGGAGCCGTGCGCTGGGCAGAGAGAGAGATCACCAGCTTTCGTCCAGCTGGTGAGGTGTCCCAGGGCACAATGGCTGGCAGCCTTTCAGGTGGCAGCTGTTGCACCAGATCCAAAAGACCAGAACCAGTTCAAAAAACACACTGGGATTGCCAAATATGGGCTGGACACTCTGTTCGCAGCCCAAAGTTCCAGCTGGAGATGATCAGAATATCTGGGTGTATTCCTCTGAGACAAACTTACTTCGAGACCTTGCCCCTCTTGGTCAATGAAAGAGAGAGATTGCCGTCCATGCCTTCCCCCCGCAGGTCTATGAGGATGAGGGAAATTGGGGTGGGGCGAGGGTAGGATCCATGTGTGCCTCGGTCACTGTGTTTGTATGTGTGGGGGTGCATTCTGTGTCAATGTGCTTCTGTGTGTGCTCAGCAGCCCAAGGACACCTGGGCTCTGGAGAGGGAGGCACTGCTGGGATTCAAGGTGAGAATCTCCAAATATGATGGTTGTCATTTTCTCTCTGCACCTGCAATTAACTGGGCGTGTGACGCGTGCCCACCAACCATCCTGCTGGGCCCAAGTTGCCAAAAAAAATCGCCAATTAAGAGCCCCTGCTTGGTAGCAGGTCCAGAATGGGTTTCTGTTGTGGAGGAGAGGAGAAGAAGAGGTGTCATTCTGAGCACGCTGCCTTCCTGAAATTCTAAATCCAGTGTAGAAAGGGGAGAGGGAGAGAAACTAGAGGCAGAAACCCATGGAGAAGAAAAGAGAGTGAGAGGCAGTGGGAAAGACAGAGAGAGAAATGTCTGTGGACATGGTGCAGAGTGGGGGAGTGTCGGGGTGGCAGGTGGGCCCCGGCTGCCTGCCCCTACCCGTCCCAGGACCGAGACCTGCCTGCAACTCAGTCATGGAGCACAGACCAGAGGACACCTGCTCTGTCTGATGGGCCTTTTTTTTCATGGCTCACTCACTTAGTGGGGCAACCACATCCTTGGGCAAACTGGTTCCTGAAGTGCCAGGGAGAAAGGAACCAATGGCCCTTCTCACTGAGAGGTGGCAGGAGCTGGGAGAGGGCCCTAAGGGATAGTCCCCTTTGAGGTTGGGAGATAGCATGACAAACCGTCCCAGTTTTCCTGGGACCGTGCCAGCTTGAGCACTGAAAGCCCCACATCCCAGGAAGGCCCTTAGTCCTGGGCGAACTGGGACAGTTGGTCAGCCTGTAAGGAAGCCCATGTGTTCCCTTTACCAGTGCTTTTGAAACCTTGCTGCACACAGGAATCACCGGGGGCCTGGTTAAAGTGCACATTCTCTCTCATATGGTCTCGGGTAGGCCCGAGATTATGTATTTCTAACAAGCTCCCAGCAGTGCTGCTGCTGGTCCATGGACCACGCTTGGAGAGCCCACTTCTCTTCCCTTGTAAACCAGAGGAAATCCTGAAAGAAATAGGATGTCGGGTTCAGCTGTGATGGACTCAAGAAGAGGCTGTGTCTCACAGGAAAAGAGTGAGTGGATGGGTGTGAGCCTCCTGCCTCAGCCCTCTTTGTTTCTCTCCCCTAGAAGGACTCGTATCTCTACCAGCTGCCCCCGTCGTTGCTCCGGAGACTCTATGACAGCCGCTCAGTCTCCCTGGATGGATTGCTTAAAATGCTGAGCAAGGCTAGCGTGGGTAGGAAGCAGCCCGGGGGAGAGGGGTGTGCGGGGCAGGATTCTGAAGATTAAAAGGCCGGGAGACCCCTTCAGGTGGGAAGGAGGCTGGAGATGGCTTAGTGAGTAATTGAGGGTCATGATCGGAACCTGCCTCTCTCTAATTGTCACTTTCCAGATTCCATTCCCCAGTTACATGCTTGTTCTTGCTTTCACAGATCCTAAGGGATCATCGCTTCCCCAGAAACGTGAGTAGCCTCTTCTCCCTCCCTATCTCTGCTGTAATCACTTGCCCAGAGCTCTGTGGGCATAGAGGCCAGTGACTATTTTGGCTGGCCCCATCTTAGCTGGTGTAAACAGTATGCCAGCTGCAACTGAATGTGAGAGGCCACCAGGAACTAGGAGGAAGCAGGTGTGAGGGGTGTGGTGGACTCTCCCTCCACTGGCTGGGCATTGGGAACCAGGAAGATCTCTGGGTAGCTGTGAAGATTCTAAGCCAGGCACCTGCTGGGGTAGAGAATTCTTGAAATTTGGAGGAGAGGTGGGTGGAGAAGGTGGGATTAGGGGATAGCTTGCTAACTGTGGGGAGTCAAGCTGTGGCAAGATAAAGAAACAGAGACCAGAAACCCGCTCTCAGAAGTCTTGACACATGTCTGGGGAAATGCGTCACCCCCTCGACATCATTGCTGACAATGTTGACCCTTTCTCTGCAGGTGATATGCATGACTTCTTTGTGGGACTTATGGGCAAGAGGAACATCCAGCCAGGTAGGAGCATGTACAGGTACAGTGAAAGGGTTTAGGGTACCGGCCAACATATGGCAGAAGTCAAGTGCCTCATATCTCACCAGAGGGAAAGACAGGACTTTTCTTAGCTATAGTGAGGGTTCCTCAGCCCCTTCTACCCCATCAGCTTGGATCCACAGTTCAGCCCTCCATGGGAGCAGAGTGGGGACACCTTTATAAGATAGTCCTGCTGAAGCTGAGATGCAGTTAGGAAGGCTCTACCTCCTCCCCATCTCCTCAACAGAGCGTGCCTCTTCTGCCCAACTCTGCCTTCCAGTGCCACCCTTCATAGCCAGCCCTTCGCTATTGGGTCCAGGTGAAGGTCACGTTCAGAAAAATCCCTCCTAACTATGCTGTTTACTTCACCCCAGACACTCCTATTGATGTGAACCAAGAGAACATTCCCAGCTTTGGTACCCTCAAGTATCCCTCCAATGTGGAATGAGGTAAGGATTGTTGGTTAGGGAGAGGAGAGGGGACTGTGTGTGTGGTGGGGGGAAAGGTTGCCAGAGAAGCGTTTCCTCTGATGTTATAGGCATTAATGCTCATAAATTTGCCCTAAAATACTGTGTCAGTGCCCAGCACACCGTCAGTCAAACACACCGACACTTAGAGGCACACATGTGTCTGCAAGCATGTGCGCACGCACACACATACACCCCTCTTTTTCATCTCTTTCCCCTGTATCATGGACTCCGGTTGACTATTGAGCAGAAGCAGTGAGTGATGGGAAATGGGGAGAGAGGGGTTTCCCCTGGGGCTTCTCTGATAGGCAACTTCTGTTGTTTGGGCTCCATTCTCTCATGATATGTACAAAAGATGGAGAGATCATCATCTGATAATTACAGGTATGACATCCAATTCGCAGGTGAAGCATCTTGCCTCCCAGGCAGGCTGAAATTTCAGATCATTCAGAATCTCAGTTTCCTGGGTCCACTTTGTAGTTCTTCGCAAGTGTGATTTAGGAAGAAATGCAAGGAACTCTGAAATCTAATGGGGAGTAGCTGGAAACCATATCTTAGTCACTCTGTGTAGCATAATGGACAAGAGCATGGCCTGAGTTTGAATCCTGGATCTACTACTCACTAGCTATGTCCCCTTGGCCAAGTAACATAACCCTTCTGTGCCTCAGTTTCCTCACCTGAAAGATGGGGGTGATGATAGTGTGTCTCAGGGTTGTGGTTTTGAGGATCAAGTTTAGGTAAAGGGTTCAGAGCAGTGCCTGGCACATAGTGCTGTGCGTTGGCTTTGTTATGGTTGTCACCATCTGGGAGGTGTGGGAAATGTCCCAGTGTTTTCCTTCCCCTGTTCGCCCTGCCTAGAGCTGTCTGGGCTGGACCCTGGGGCTGAGTGTGCTGACGGATCTCTCACTTGGTATGCGAGTGTGAGAGTCCCCCAGGGAAATGTCTAGTCAAAACATGGAACCTTCCGCCTCAGCACCATCTTCCCACACACAACAATAGCAGCCCAACTGATGGCTTTCTTTGCACTAGCTTCCGAAGAAAGAAGGTGTGGGGGGTGATGAGGAGAGGGATTGGGATGCCTCAGTTACCACGGAGAGACTCCTGTCCTCTCCCTGTTACCCACACTCATTGGTCTTGAGGGAGAATCAAGGAGCAGCAGCTGGCTTTCGATGAAGCTGCCTGTGCATGACTCCCTGGGCCCAGAGGCCGGGTCTGGTCCCCCATTCAGTGCTGGGTGAGAGGGCACAAAGACCCGTAATAACCGTAACTCGCTGATTACATGGTACTTACTGTATCATTTTGCTCTCATTAGATGGTTATTTCAGTCCTGCCGACCGCCAGATAATTATATGGGCAGCTTTATTTGGATGACATACTCTCCCCCAGCATCATGCATCGGCCATAAAGATAATTACAGTGCAATTTTGCCGTAGTATTTTACATAAATGGCAGAAACAAGTGCATTGTGGAAATCTACTTTTAATGCTTGCTGGTGAATCTAGGCTCTTTCAGAGGGACCAGGCCCATAACTGCAGTCTTCATAATCTCACCACTGATGGAGCATTCTCAACCCGTTAGGTGCCAGGAAGAATAGAACGAAAGGTCTCTGGGGGCTGGCATTTAAAGGAGATTAGATGAGATGAATCAACACAGATCATTGTGTCATCTTATTTCATTCATGTGAAACTGCTGAAAGCAGAAGTGAGCCCTGGGCTTGTCCTTCTCTGGGAGGTTTCTGGAAGGGGAGGTGGGACTGGGTGAGGCCGCGGGACCACTAGCACCAGGACGCATTGGACAGGGCTGTGTGTATGCCTGGCTCACGGGGACGCCAGGATGGTATGAACTTTGTCACCGCATTTCTGCATGGTCCCCATGCACGCGGGTATTTATAAGTAGCGTGATAAACACGGCAGCCAGGAAGGGGCAAGCACCTGTGGCTAGGAGAGTTCAGTGTTCCAGTTCAAAGGCTGCAGAGAAAGCTGAGGGTTAAGACTTCCTTTCTCTCTCCTCCCTCACAGATGTCCCTCCCCCCTCCCCCTGCTTCCCCAGCCAGTGGTTGGAGGGGACAGAAGATGTGATTTCGTTGTTTTGTCCTCAGCACTGCACTTCTGAACTCCTGGGCTGCATCACGAAGACACCCTATTGCCCTCCCCCAGGCCCCAGATACATGCGCCCCTATTTCCTTTCTCTTCTCCATCCTTGTAACACTCCTGTGCTTTGACTGCTTCCTCATCCCTCTACCCCACTGGATGTAGAAACTGCATAGGGAGGATCCCCAATCCCAGCAGGCATTGACTATAGATTCCCCTGGAATTTCTGTAGTGTCCTACATTAAAAATATGACGTCTCTCTCCTCCTCGACAATAAAAGATTTTTACAAATGACCTAGAGTGATGTATTTGGTTGGTTGGCTGGTGGGTGGGGTTTTTTCTTCCTTGACTCTTCCAGCTACATCATACATATGTACACATATATGATACACACACACATATATCATATATGAATGGGAGGGTCTTTATTTTGTACACATATCGATTTTCCCCACAGTGCCTTACCCAGTGCTTTATACAATTAATATCAGAAGATTTATTTAGTGATTTAAAGAATAAATAAATGGATTTGGAAGATGGGTTCTAGCACTCGAAGACTTTCACAGCTTTCACAGCTTTAGATGGAGAAAAAACACATATTTGGAATGGCTTGTCTGTGTTTCTAGGATGGATCTAGGAGACATCAATCCCTGAATCTGACTTTACTTAATGAGAGAAGGGAGGTGGGGATCAAGGCTGTGCAAAGACCTGGCCACAGAGGAAGATGCATCTATGCACTGTACCATCTTTCTGTCCCCAAATGTGGAGCATGGGTCCTGTGTCAGGTCGAGGGGAAGAGACGGTGACCCCTACACGGAGTTTACAGTCTAGCAAGCTGTGGACAGGCAAACAACACTTGATCCTGCCAGGAGGGGACATAGACAGGAAAGTTACTTCAGAGGCCAAGAAAGAAGGGTGCAGCCATCTTCAGTGTTAACTGGCTGCCTTAGTTATTATAAAGGGAAAACATTTATTTCAGACTGTTCTATAATGCAACTGTTACCAGCCCCTGGAGCACTGTCTAGTAGGCCCTAGCACATGTAAGCCACTTAAATGAGGTGTGTGGAGGTGTCTTTTATTAATCTGATATGCCAACTATCACACCAACACAGCCCACTGATCCCAAGGAGGGTCCTGTACTCGAATGGAACAGCCTGGGAAATCCTCAGGCTCCTTGTCTTCGCCTGGTGCAGGGCCCTTGGCCATGCCCCCGAAGCACCCTGATACAAAGTCAACACTCAGCTCTCCCACGGCAGTGTAGACAGGACCATGGAGCCAGAGGTCACTTCCTGCAGTTCCTTCACCTCAGTGAAAGTTCTGTCTTCCAGAACCCAACTAGTCAACTTTGGACCTACGGCTGTACAGTGGGAGATGGGAAGGAGGGGGAGTTCACTTCAGTATCACTGGTGTCAGGTTTATTGCTAGAGGTCAAAGATTGCCCTCACCTCAGATCCTCAAGGCTTTCTCCAGTGAGTCATCTTTTTGGCTTTTAAAACTTATCTATCTAGAGGGTTTAAAAGTGGGGTAATTTTGCAGAGTCTGGGGAATTTATCTGGGTCATGAAAGCTTCAAGAGTTGATTCTTCTCAGACTTGGGATTGGGGCGAGTGTGCGGAGATGACAACGAGCGCTTTGCCAAGTAGGAGCATAAATGCAGAAAGGTTGCTCTCTGGTGGGACTGACAAAAACTGCAGTACTGGAGATTCCAGGAAAAATGAAGACAAATTTTAAATTAGATTCCTGTTTTTGTACTTGGAGAATGTGTGAAGGAATCCTGGCCCTCCTCTTCCTGTTGTAAAGAGCTTGATGCCTAAGGAGACCTGGTCGACAAGACCTTGACTGAATTCCTGGCCCTTGTCCATTTAGCTCTGTGTGTGTGTTTTATTGTGTTTGCATGGCGATTTACTTTAAAAAGACTTCAGTATTAAAAGTTTTGGACCCAATTGCAGTGTGTGGAGGGGAAGGTTTCGCCACACTAAGAAGCAATGCTCTGACACTATCTACCTGGAGATAGTATCAGATTCCACGGGTTGGGAGCTCAGTCCTACAAAACTGCACCCCCCTTCAGTTGCCAATTGCAAACCCAGGTTGTTACAGATTGGAAGTTCCCACGGCTCCCTCCTTGGCTTCCATTAATTTGCTAGAGTGGCTCACAGAACTCAGGAAACCTGTTTAGATCACCAGTTTATTATAAAAGGATATACCTCAGGAACAGCCAGATGCAAGAGATGCATAGAGCAAGGCGTAGGGAAGGGGGTGCTGGGCCTCCGTGCCCTCTCTAAGCATGCCACTCTTCTCTCCTTGAATCTCCACATGTTCACCAACCTGGAAGATCTCCGACCTTGGCCAGCCTGCTGGGTTTTTATGGAAGCTTCATTACACAGGCATGATTGATTAAATCACTGACCATTAGGATTGATTCAACCTGCAGCCTTTCTCCCCCTCGTTGGGGGTCAGAGAGTTGGAACTGAAAGTTCTAACCCTCTAATCATAAGGTTGGTTCTCCTGGCAGCCAGCCCCCATCCTTGAGTGTGATCCAAAAGTCACTCATTAACATAACAAAAGACACCTTTAAGGCTCTCATCACTTAGGAAATTCCAAGGGTTTTAGAAGCTCTGTGCCAGAAATGAGGATGAAGACCAAATACTGTATATATTTCTTATTATAAATCACAGTATCACGAGTATAAACAGTATAAATTTTAATCTACATCTTGAGGGGGGTTTGGTAGCACGTGAAGTACATTTACTGGGGTCAACACTCCAGATATGGTTAAGGCAGTTGGTTAGAAAGATTGAACAGGCCCAAGACCCTTGCAAGTCTCTCAGAGTCCTACTGGAGGTTTGGAGTCCATTGGTTATATGATGTTCCACTTCAGGGGCACTCGGCCAC